TTTTTTTTTTTTTTTTTTTTTTTTTTTTTTTTTTTTTTTTTTTTTTTTTTTTGTTGTGAATAAATTAGACCATTAAATCTGGGGTTTTACAAAAAAAAAATATATAGGGTTAACAAAAACCTAATGTCATCAAGAAATGAGATCCTATTTAAACTCGATAATGTTACTTCCTACGACATAAATATGAGGGTCCAAACCTCATATCCCAAACTAAAATCCAAATCCGTGCATGAATTGTATGGTAGGTATGTAAAGAATAATTTAAATGACCAAATGCACCTGAACGAGTGAGGTAAGATTTGAATTAGTATTCATTATAAAAAATATATATATTTAGCTTCGAGCGTGAAACTCACCAGAAAAGGCCTCAGTAAGAGCAGGATCTTCATATGAACTTCCGGTTGCACTGATCGGTGTACACTCACTGAAAAGTGTTGAGGTAGAGTGACCAAATGGAGAAACAGCCTCAGTATAGTCATCAATTTCTGTCTTACCCGCTGTCATATTATAACTATCAGTTACATCACCTGGAGTAATACTGCATGAATTTGAATTCTTATCAGATGGATGATTCTTTGGACAACCAATCGTCTTAGATTCATATATTAAAGCTTCTAGTAAGCCACTATTGCGTGGTGAAAGGCAATCTGATCCCAACATAAAAGTTGGTGGAGATTGAATAAACGGATCAACTGATTCAAACATTGCCGGTTGGATGGGTGTCTCCCAACTGCATAAATCAGTTTCTGGATATTGGAGTGAAGGGAGCTCCAACTTCTCTGTCTCTTTCGAGTGCTGAGAAGCAGAGGAATTGCCATTTGTAAGGGAATGGCTACCCTCAAACGAGCCAAAAGACATGGCATTCTTAGTGGCAGCGTTAGGATCAAGAGGAAAAGGTGACCCATATGATTGAGCAACTTGATCATAGGAATTATCCTCAAACTGGTGGAAAGGGGTTTTAACACTACCATCAGGACCAGAGAATAAGGGTGCTGATTCCCGGTAACGCTTTTGACGATGCATTGTAGATGGCATGAAATTACCATATTGAGAAGAATCAAGACCTCTTTTCAGCATACAACTTGAAATTTCTGGAAGCTGGGGCATATAAGATAAGGCATTATGAGGCTTGCCTTGAAATTTGACATCCGGTATTGCATCATAACTATTAGCCTGAAGAAGATCATGATGATCTTTACCTACAATATTACTACCACCTGTGTCTTGGTTATGACGATGCTGCCATGCGCGCAAACTCACTTCAGGGGGATACAGAGGTAGACCAGCCCGCTGCCGCCTCTTAATTCGAGTATTCCAGTAATTCTTAATTTCATTGTCTGTGCGTCCAGGTAACTAAGGAAAAACACAATAAATACCTTAAGGAAATGCAAGTATTTCTAAGGATCAAAACTAGAAATGCCTATCACTAGATGATTAAATCTACAGCAATGAATGGAAGATTTGAATGCCAGAAAAGGCGTTATAGCCCTCAATGGATAACAGGCAACTACCATAGATGAAAAAACATAAACCCTTGATGGATAATAGGCAACTGGCATAAATGTAAAACATGCGCTGGAAACCATAGAGAAAATTATAAGTTGCATTGAAGAACCTACAAAGTGGAGCGAACAAAACAATGTGTAACTATAATTTTTCACATTGAAACATCCAATTCGCTAGTCTTAAATAGTTTATCTTGTATGTTGAAAACAAGATTTTGTTTAATATTATCATCTACAAATGAAATAAATTTCAATTCTCAAACCACGATTTTTCCTGGAAAAAGCAAGAAAATCCAAGCCAGCAGTAGCAAATAATCAAACAAATAAAATAAAAAGGAAAGGAGATTGTGCACATACATGGGCTGCCATGCGTGCCCATTTGTTTCCCATTTTTGCGTGCAGATGAATTATTGTATGCTCTTCTTCTGCAGTAAACGCCCCTTTTTTCAAGTTTGGTCTGAGATGATTGGCCCATCGCAAGCGACAGCTTTTCCCACAACGAGAAAGTCCAGAATGCTTCTGAACAGCATTCCAATTCCCCTCCCCATGTTTTTTTACATATTCTATCAAAATCTCATCTTCATTAGATGTCCATGGTCCTTTCTTAAGACAGCCACCGCTAACATTCCCTCCGCTATCTTCATCTACCAACGGTGATAATATCTCATCATTTGAAGGTATGTTGTCTTCACTTCGATTTTTTGTTCGCCGCATCTCTTAGTTTGCAATCAAATAAAGATCCTATAACCAAATTAGGAATATTGATGAAACAAGGAACAATTAAAAAAGAGAGAAAAAGAGCACAGACTTCAACAAACAGAAGTCATCGTGTTGTGATCAAATCCAAGTGGAAAAAAAAGAAAGGGGCTGAGGTAGAGCACCCATCACCAAGAAAAATACGTGAAGATTCAAATGAATGGAGGGGGATCTTATGTTTAATCATAACATTTTTACTAATCAGTACTGGAATAAATAATTAAGTCTTCATAAATGTTCACATAAATACAGATTTCCCTGATCCATAAAAAGAAGAAAAGCCACTTAAATTCTCTTACTCCTACTGGAAGAAATAAATGAACAAAGAAATTATCGACAGTGAAGTTAATCTGTTACTCTAACCTAGAAGAGTCACTCATCATAAATTCTTAAAGTTCGATAACTCCAAGAACAAAATCCCAAGTAATTAAGTCATTAACTACGAAAGAAGTCTGCAATTATAGTAACAAATTCAGCATAATCGACACTGAAAAAGTAAACCGTAGCCTACTAAATACAGATCCTTCCTAGCACATCTAGAACGATTTAAACCTCTAAATATCAAAACCTAAATCCACAAAAATCCATTTCCATGGAAGAACGGAACAGAGAATCGATATACCTGAATCGAACTCCCGCAACAGAACAAATTCTCAAAGAAACAGGCTTTAAATCGCCGACTTAATGAAAAGCACACAAAAATGATCGAACGAGAAATCAATAGGTCATTCGAGGTGCCGAATTGAGCTACCAGCAGAGAAAATATCGATAATGGAAGATCTGAAACAGAGACACAATCCAAAAGCGGAAAAAAATAAAAATTACAAAAAAAGTAAAAAGAAAAAAAAAATCAGCTCGCGAAATCACTGAGCAGAAAACACAAACTCCATTTCACCAAAATCATCAGAAAGAGAAACAATCAAAAAGTGCTAAAAACAGACAATTATATCCATAATCATCACTGCTCAAATCTAAACCCTAGTCCTCTCAAAGATCCATCTCTAAAACCAAACAAATTCAACAACAAAAATTCATAAACCCTCGATAAATGCTGACCACAATTTGTGAGAGATGATGATGAAGAGCAACACATCTGGGAGAATCCCAGAGATCCAAAAGAAAACCCCTCCCACAGGAAATACACAGTGAGAGAGAAAGGGATACTGAGAAATTGAAGTTTTTGAGAGAGAAATTGAAATGGCAAACGAAGAGCAAAATTAGGCAGAGAGAAAGGAGGAGAAAGTTGCATACATCTCCATCCTCTCCTTCCTTCTTCAATCTTCTCTTCTTCACTGCAAATCAAAATCAAATTTCTCATACTTTCTTTCAATATATATATTAAATTTTCTTCACTGAAAAAATCAAAATCAAAATTCTCATACTTTCTTTCAATATATATATTAAAATTTCTCACAAAATATTGCGTATAAAAGTAATTGTTTAATTATGACTAATTTAACTCATATTTAAATTAACTTTTTCATCGCTATTTATTTTTTAAAAAAATAAAGTATTAATATGCAAAATAATTCTTTTTTATTTTTTATTATTAAATTAAGACGTGTAACTCCATTTAAATATATTTTTAAAAAATTATATTCTCAAAATTAAATATTTTATTTTAATTTTTTTTAATAAATATATCGTATTAGTAAAAAAATTAAATTAATAATAAATTAAAGTTGATTCCAACTAACTCTTAAATCATATTCATTTTTTAATATTATCTAAATAAATCTTTAAATTATGCTAATTGATATTCGCCTTTTAAAAATAAATTATACAACTGAATTGAGGCTCAGACATATCCCCGATCTGTTCGGATGTCTCCAACCTAATTAAGGCCGATCGATTAGAACACCTGTAGGAAAAAGATAAAAGAGAGAATAAAGAGGCAAAAGATCATCAAATTCATTCCGAAACTTCATTTTGCATGTTTTTTTTTGCTTAAGTTAAGGATCTTAGCCTATGTACTGTTAAAATTAAGTTTTGACCCTTTAATTTGAGGGGAGAGATACAAGGTACCTTGACAAGGTGACATTAGCCTCTACCATTTCGAGCTCTAGTCCATTTGAATCATGTATATTTACATGATTTTTGGATGTCTTTGATTTCGTGTCCGGTAAAGTTAGGATATGACCATTGGCAAAAAGGATCGAGATATGACCATTAACTAAGCCAAGGTTTAACACGAATAAACAATGTATTACTCGTCACAAAATAGATTAACAAACCATATTTTAGGAATTATCAGCTAGGGCCGGCCTTGCATTAGTTTGCTTCTACCTACCCTTAAATCTTCCAAATATTTCACGTTATATAATTTAACCTTAAAAAAATCAAGATCATTCATAATAAGCACGTGAAAACATAATATATCAAACACAAACAAACAAAAAAGAATAGGTTTGTGTGACATATTCCAGTACAATCCAATAACGACAAAAAAAAAAAAAAATGGTGTGTTGAATATGATAATACAGAATTCATTCATTGTTTGTCATAAACGAAGCATTAAGAATAACCCGAAATCATTGAGGTAAAATAATATATCAGGTATATCGAGCACTTAATGAGGAGTATGTACTACTTTGATAATAGAAATTCTTCTGTCATAGTTAATAAAACTACGAACCGAACGTCTCCACGTATCGACCCGTCTTTTTTCTTGTCCAAATGAGACACAATTCAAAGAAGGAAAAGAGAAAGTTGTTAGATGAATTTCCTAACATGTGATATTCTTTTCATTTGCAAATTCTAGGCGAACAAACGAGAGAGTTTGGTTGCATCCCATAAGTGCCCATCTCTTGCCTTTAAAAAAACCCATTAATCAAAAAAATTATTTAAGAAAAAAAAAAAAAAACATTCCAAGTACGTGGAACTGGATCCAAGATCACGATATCCGGAATCAGTGTTGGAGGTCGATTCGGATACCCCACCCTTATTATAGAGGAGAGTTTGGCACTTAGTTGCCCATATGGTGCATCGCCTATTTCTCGTTCTCACTCGGAACCCCTTCAATAGAATCGAAGAACCTGTGTGGGTGGGAGAGCGCAATAGCTAGTCTCCTGGTTCGAACGGATTCTCTGAAAAACACTAATAAAGTTCCCTCGAGAGCCAGTTCGTTAGGAGCAGGTTTTGTTTGAAACCTGTCTGATCCAACCAAAGAGTTAGTATCTCAAAAATCAAAACAAATCATTTTCTATATTCCATTTATGGGTAAGAATTAAGATATGTGATCGAGCTCGTCACAAGCTGTGCAATTAGGTACCAATTATCATTGTAAAAATGAGGGGTATTCACGGGTTGGATTTAAATTCTCTAATTAGGTACCAATTATCATTGTAAAGTGAGACTGACGGCGATACGTAACGAGTCAAAATGAACAATATCTACTAGCGGTGGACTTGGACTTTGATACCAATTATGAGACCTCACATCAGTTGAAGAGGGTAACGAGACATTCCTTATAAGAGTGTGGAGACATTTCCCTAATAGACACGGTTTAAGACCATGTGGCTACGGACGATATGTAACGAGCCAAAACTAACAATATATGTTAACAGTGGACTTGGGTTATTACAAATGGTATTAGAGCCAGACACTGGCCAGTGTGCAAGCAAGGACGATAAGCCCTCAAGGAGGGTGGATTGTAAGATCTCATATATCGGTTGGAGAGGAAAACGAAACATTTCTTATAAGGGTGTGGAAACATTTCCCTAATATACGTTTTAAAAATCGTGAGGCTAACAACCCGAGCCAAAGCAGACAATATCTAATAATAGTGATCTTGGGCTGCTACATGTACAAATGTCAAATTTTTTTTTTTTTTTTTTCATAACCATCCTAAAGAGTAGGGTAGAGTTGAGTTGTGAACCCTATTTTCAAGTTGGTCGGGTTTATGCACCAAAAAAAGTTCCCTAACCTACAAATTAAACCGAATTTTTTCAATTTTCCCAATATTCAACCAAACCTGAATTTAATATATAACCCAACTCAACTTTTATATAGTTCGGGTTATTCGAGTCATCAAGTCGTATTAACATCTCTAATAAATGTCGAAGATTGAACTAAAAGAATACGATTATTTCGTTTGGGCTCTAAGAGATTTAAGCATCTGATCCTTCTGATCGAACTATATCTTATACAGTTCACTAATCAAAACTTTTCCGCTCTTTTTAAGGAAAGGGAGAAAGAATACGACAAGTAAAGAAATTACATACAGAACAAAAGTACACGTTTTCGAGAAACATCAAACAAAAAAACCCCAATTTAATGAAGTTGATACCAAAATTAGGAGAGAAAGAATATGAAAGAGAAAAAATTGGGCAAATTAGGGTTCATAGAATAGTGAAGAAAAAAATGGAATAAATGAGAGCCCATACTCTTCCCCTTTTTTCCATTTTTTATGGCTATGTTTGTGATAGTGTGATGTCACATGAATAGGGATTGCCCTAAATAATGTCACATGAAGTCTATTCCGACACGGTATTTTAATAGTCAGCTCGAGATAATTAAAAAAAAAAGTGTTTTTATGTAAAGCACGGTTCGTTTTTTTTTTTTTTTTTGTTTTCTAAATTT